TAACCAGAAAAGCTTGTTTTCGGTAGTAATTTATTAATCTGTATATGCAAAAACCCAAATGCATGCTATTTTCTTGTTCCCATGTTCATATCTTTAATAAAAGCTTGGGCTAGGAGAGTGAAAGGCAGAGCTGCTCTTGATGGCTCTCTCCCCAGCATCCCCCCCACTGCAAATTCATTTAGACTCCGAGTCTTTGTTAATGGCAGAGAACTTCCTGAGCCGTCCTGTCTGCGGCATGTCTGTGATTCAGTTCAAGGCCAGCAAGTTCCATAACTGCAAGATCAGTCCAGTGGTATGTTGATAAACATCAGTACCAAATAAGACCCAAGTAAGCTTACTAGGGGTTTTGCATGGAGAGCAGTTGAGTTACCTCTTCTGGTAAAAGGGAAAGAGCAGCAGAGGTAGGACAGGTCACCTTTGAATAATAGCAGCTCATTTGGCAGCTGCAGTACCAGGCTGAATTCTTGCTGGACTCTTCTACCTTTGCACAAGCTACACAAAGGATCAGCCCTGTGCATCCCAGTGATATACAGTAACAAAAAAGGAATGTATTTGAGTATCCCAAGCACCAGGTTATTTGTAATAACCAGAGAGCTCTCGACAGACCCATGGTAGGTGGAGATCAAATGCCGACGTGTAAAGGTGCAGTGTTATCATTGCTTTTATAGGCAGGAGCCTCAGAGTCCACCTGACAAATAGAGTGAACCCAATGGCAAGTTACCTGGGGATATAGTCAATTAGCCATGTTCTCTTAGGGGCAAGTCTCTTGGGGTGGGAAGAGATAGTGACATCCCAAAAAGAATATATAGTACAGTACAGACCAAAATGCAAACCTGTCAATTACTGATGGTTTGTTCTAAGTGACCTTTGCTGTAACATGAAATCAACTAGTTGGCCAGGAGCAATTAGTTACTTGCTCTCTGTCTTGGATGGACCATCCCTTTCATGACTAAATGCCTCTCAGTTACTCTGGGAGGAAGTCCTGCCCTGGGGTTTATGGAATGGATGCACACATAACATCTGACACTCAATAGATGAAACATATACAAGTTTATTAGTCACACATACTCACGGACCTGGCAAGAAGGACACCACATGCCATGCAAGGCCACACAAGTGTACTTGGGAACAGAAGAAACAAAGGTTATGGAAATTGGCTGTGTAATATCAAAGCGGTGTAGTGACCTCTGGTTCTTGTGGGAGGATGTGACTGGTTTGCATAATTCTTCAGGCTGCTAGGGATGTGAAATTTGGTACTCAGAGAAAAGCAAGAATTAAGAATATGCCTGGTCTCATGATCAGGAAAGATTATCTGACTATAAAACTTTGTAAAAGGAGAATGAGGAGGAAAACATATGGTCAGACCATTAGAAGCCCTCTTGGTTTCAGATGTTAAGAGTCTAATAAAACTGGGCTTTACTCTTAGGCCACATTACTCTTATTCAAATATTTCAAATACTATGAAAACCACCAAGTATTTACTAGTGTTTATTATACCTTCAGTGCAGAAACACAAGTGACAAAAACTTCAGTACTTAAAGTACTTAAGATGCTATACAGAAGGTAAGAAATTTCAGATAATTACAAATAATTTAATAAGGCTTAGAAAAGCAAAAAACTAGTAAATGAAAATGTTTTAGATGTTATCAATATATGATTTCTAAAAATGTATTTCCCCCACCACCAGGGCAAAACTGGTACTAAGTAATGTGACTTTAATTTTATAAATATGTGAGAAAACATCCTCACTCACTCATTTGTACTGCTGTATGCTGGCAGGGTTGTTCATTTATTTAATACATTTTATTTTTTAAGAGTAGTTTATAGAGTTACAGAAAAATTGAAGAGAAAGTACAGAATGTTCCTATGTATCCTTTTATTTATACCCCCATCTACAGTTTCCTCTATTATCAATATCAGAAATGTGAGACATTTGTTTTAACTGATGACTGATACATTATTAGTAACTAATAAATGCATAGTTTATCCTTTGTGTTTTACAGTCCAAGGGTTTTTGGCAAAGGAATAACAAATATTCACTATTACAATATTCTACAGAATAGTTTCCCTGCCCTAACATTTCTCTATGATCTACCTATTCATCCCACTGAAGCTCTGAACGTCTGGCAACCACTGATCATCTTAGTCTCCACAGTTATGTCTTTACCAGAATGTGGAATAGTTGGAATCATACTAGTTTCTTTCATTTATCAATACATATCTAAACTTATTTCATGTCTTTTGTTATTTAACAGCTTGTTTCTTTTTATTGTCTGCCCATTGCATCCTGTAACCTTGCTATAACTACTTATTAGTTCAGAGTTTTTGTTGTTGACTCTAGAATTTTCTCCATAGGTAATAATATCTGTGACAATAATTCCAAATCTGTGCTTGTTTTATATCCTTTGTCTTACTGTACTAGTTGGGACTCCAGAAGTATATTGAAAAGGATGGTGAGAGGGACATCCTTACCTTGCTTCTTAACAAGAAAGCCTCTACTTTCTCATCATTAAGTTTGATGTTGGCTATAGATTTTCTGTAGATATTCTTTACCAAAATTAAGGAAGTTCCCTGCATTCCTCATTTGCTAAGATTTCTTATCAGGAATGTGTTTTAATATTGTAAAGTATTTTTTCTGCATGTATTGATATATGATATTTCCTCTTTAGCTTGATTATATGATAGATTACGTCAATTATCAAAAACTGAGTTAGTCTTGCATACCTTGAATAAATTACCCACTTGGTCATGGTTTTTATACACTGCTGGATTCAATTTGCTAGTATTTTGTTGAGGATTTCTGAAGCTACATTCATCAGAGATCTGTAATTTTTTTTCTTGTAACATCTTTGATTGTTTTGACACTAGGGTGATGCTAGCCTCAAGGAATGAGTTAGAAAGTATATTTCCTCTGTTTTGACTTTCTGGAATATTGTAGAGAATTGGTATCATTTCTTCTTTCAATGTATGGTAGAATGTACAAGTGAATCCATTTGTATCTGGTACTTTCTGCTTTGGAAAATAAAGTATTGATTCATTTTAATAGTTATATATCTAGGTAGGTATATATCTGTGAGCTTTGACAGACTGCCTTTCAAGAAATTGGTCCATTTCATCTAGGTTATCAAATTTGAGGGCATACAGCTGTCCATGATATTGCTTTGTAATCCAATTGATTTCCATGGGATCAATACTTACAGCCTCTCATTTCTGTATATAATGACTGATGATCATTATTTATCTTAGTTAACCTGGCTAGAGGCTTATCAATTTTATTGACCTTTAAAAAAAAAAAGCACTTGGTTTTATTGATTTTTTTTCCTATTGGTTTTTTTCCAGTTTCACTGATTTTTCACTCTCATTCTTGTTCTTTCTTTCTGATTACTTTGGCTTTAAATTGCTCTTCTTTTTCTAGTTTCCTAAGGTGGAAGCTTAGGCTCTACGTAACCTAGGATTGTTAGTTTCTATAACCTTAGATTATTTGTATTATCTAGTGATTTATATAACTTGTTTGTGTAATTTAGTGTACCATTTTTATACAGTAAGTTAAAGCCCCACTCTAACTCTATGCTGATCCTGTGCTAACATCAACCCTCTCTCTCATAAAGTTAAAAGTCTCTAAGGGCCCATATCCCTTCTTGAAAACAAATGAAGACCTGAACTTACAGCCCAACTTATAGCCCTGAATATCACCTAGCTATCTATGGCTTCTTTTATGGACCCTGTCTTTGAAGGCAGCTGATTAACAAAGTGTTGGACAAAAAAAAGGCTGGAGGTTAGAGTACTCAACATATGTACCTTCAAGACACCACAAAGCTTGGCATGAACCATGGGTGAGAAAAGGGGCAATGGGATAGAACCCATAAACAGAACACATTCTATTTAACATTGTTATTTTGATATATAAATGGTTTTACTGTGGCTTAGCCAACTTTTACTGGTTAAACACCAACTCTGTGGGGCTCCTTTTAAACTACTGCTCCAGGTCCTACAAACATGGGGGTATAATTGATGTAATAAATGCTAAACAAGAATCTTTGCTTTCTATCCATAATTATATCAAATTCCATTATGCATATGAAATATATATAGTTTACATGACATATCACTTGTACATACATAAGTCCTGTGAACTTAAGTGACATTTTACATATGCATTTAACATGGTTGCCCTAATTATTTAATTCACCTTTTTTAACAAGCTTCATATTCAAATGACTGCCAGAATCCGGGTTGCAGAAAGAGTATGATTATTACACAAAGAAATTGCTTATAGTGAAATCCTGATTTCTTTGTAATCCTGATGCAATACAGATTCCAGATTCCTTTTTGACTATGTAACATACGTTGATGGTTATTCAAAGCTAAATGCAATATAATTTCATAGAACTACAATGCAAACACAAAGTCCATGCAAAAATAGGTGAAATCTGAATAAAATCTATATAGTAGGGTATATCAAATTCTACTTGAGAATACACTGCAGCTATATAAGATATTATCATTAGAGGAAGTTTGGTGAAGGGCACATGAGTATTCTATATACTATTGCATCTTCTTGTCTGTTTTCACTGTACTTTCTTTTAGTTTTTAAAGCTTTGCATTGCACAATATACATCTACAAATTACCATTTATTGTGGTTCCTAAAGGTAGTTAATGGTATCAAAACCAAAACAACTTCGAATGGTAGGTTACTTTAAAAAAAAATCAAGCTATGTCTCAAATTGACAGATATCTCCTCAACATAAATTCTGATATACCCAATTTGCATTTTTGCTAAAAACTGTTACATAATCAAAAAATTTTTTGTGGTCTTATAATCAAATTAGCTACCAGACATTCAGTTAATGGAATGATACTTCTTAAAAAGACTGTCTTCTTCTTGTGGTGGTCTATAGGTTTTCCGGTATCATTACTTTGTAGTAAAATAAGGCCAGTTTGTAGATAAAGGTTCAGAATGTTAATAAGACATCTCCACAGTGTAAATTCTTTGAAGTATAATGGATGCTGAATTGCTGCTCAATATTTCTACTGTTCATGTTAATCATAAGATTTCCCCCCTGTATGTGTTTTCTGATGCACAATGAGGTTTGACTTCTGAGAGAAAGTTTTTCTACAGGTATTACATTGATAGGGCTTCTCCCCAGTGTGTGATCGCTGATGTTTAGCAAGGTCTGATTTACGGTAAAAAATTTTCCCACATTCATTACACTGACAAGATTTCTCTCCTGTGTGAGCCCTGTGATGCACTGTGAGGGATGACTTGTGACTGAAAGATTTCCCACATTCATTACATTCATAGGGTTTCTCCCCTGTGTGTTTTCTGTGATGTAAAATAAGTCCTGATTTCACACAGAAAGATTTTCCACAAACATTACATTTATAGGGCTTTTCTTCTATATGAGTTCTCTGGTGTACAATGAGAGCTGACTTGTGGCAGAATGCCTTTCCACATTCATGACATTCATAGGGTTTCTCACCTATGTGAATTCTCTGGTGTTGAGTGAGCTGTGACTTCTGGCAGAAGGTTTTTCCACATTCATTGCATTCATAGGGTTTCTCCCCTGTATGTGTCCTATTATGTTTGGTTAAATATGATTTATTATAGAAGATTTTCCCACATTCATGACATTCATAAGGTTTTTCCCCTGTGTGTGTTCTATAATGTTGAGAGAGTGTGGATTTATGGCTGAAGAATTTCCCACATTCAGGACACGCAAAGGGCTTCTCCCCTGTGTGAGTTCTCTGATGTACTGTGAGGTCAGACTTCAAGCAGAAGGTTTTCCCACATTCATAACATTCATAAGGTTTCAGCCCTGTGTGAATTATCTGATGCCTGGTGAGTACTGACTTGTGGTAGAAACTTTTTCCACATGCATTACATTCATAGGGTTTATCCCCTACGTGAGTTCTCTGATGCTGCGTAAGATGTGACTTCTGACAAAAAGATTTCCCACAGTCGACACATTCAAAGGGTTTTTCACCTGTATGAGTTCTCTGATGTACTATAAGGTGTGAATTCATACAGAAGGATTTCCCACACTCATAACATTCATAGGGTTTCAACCCTGTGTGTGTTCTCTGATGTTTAGTGAGGTCTGATTTTTGGTAAAAAGTTTTTCCACATGCATTACATTGATAAGGTTTCTCCCCTGTATGTGTTCTCTGGTGTAATGTGAGAGCCGATCTGTGGCTAAAGGCTTTTCCACATTCATTGCATTCATAGGGTTTCTCCCCTGTATGTGATCTCTGATGTTTAACGAGGTTTGACTTTTCCCAGAAAGTTTTTTCACATTCATTACACTGAAAGCGTTTCTCTCCTGTGTGTATTCTCTGATGTCGAGTGAGATGTGACTTCTCCCAAAAGGCTTTCCCACATTCCTTACATTCAAAATGTTTCTCTCCTTTTTGAGTTTTCTGAAGTTGTGAGAGGTGTAACTTCCTCCTAAAATTATTCCCACTTTCATTACATTCATACTGTTTCACATGTGCCCCATGATGTTTCAAAAGGGTAGATTTAACACAGGATTTCCCACCATCACTAAATTCACAGTGATTTTCCTTTGAGGGAATCTGATGGAACGAGTAGGAGGAGTTATCACAGAAAATTCTCCCATATTCACTGAATTCACAGTCATTTCCTTCTGTGATCTCTCTCTTGTGTGTATTGAATATTGCTTTTTCAAAGAAGCTTTCTCGATATATGTTATATTCTAAAGTTTGAATCTTCTCATGCTGAATAGGGTCCTCATTATGAATGAAAATTTTCCCATTTGTAAAAATTTCACTTCTCTTTCTAGTATGAATCTTCTCATGCTTAATATGCAGTAGCATATTTTCACAATCATTAAATGCACCAGTCTTTTTTCCTAAATTATTTTTCTTATTGATAACCAATTCTGAAATATAGTTCAAATTCACTCCACATGAGTCACAGTGAGAGACTATTTTTCTGGAGGGAAAAAAATTTGTGTCCAAGTTAAATGGTGTTCCTATCACATTACCTTGTTCTTTATTCAGCATTTTCTTATTGAAGTATACAACCTCCCACATATGTTTAGGCTGATTTTCTTGTCTTCTCTCTTTCATGTGATTAGTTTTCCAGACTTCTGGAAATAAGAAAAATTAATCTTAACATAGAAATATTACCACATTCCTCCTGGGTGCAACTTATATACAAATGCCTGTATTACAGCTATTTCATCATGGTCAGAGAACATGTGCTGCATAATTTCTATTCTGTTCAATTTATTGAGACTTATTTATGCCCTGGATGTGGTCTATATTTCTGGATAAATGATGAGCAAGTGAAAAGAATGTAGTAGTGAAACTACTATTTTGGAGCAGTGTTCTATAAAAGTTGCTTCAATCTTTTTAGTTAATGGGTTGTTCAGTTTTTCTGTCTGTTGTTGATTTTTGTGTGTAATGGCTTTACTAACTGCTGAGCATGAGGCAATGAAGGTTCCAAATATAATTGAGGATTCATTCTCCTTTCAGTTCAATCAATTTTGCTCTGGTACTTTGAGATTTATTAGTTCTTTTTTTTCTTTTAAGATTTATTTTTTATTTATACAAGAGCTGGGGTACAGGCCAGAGTTACGGGAGGGTGAGAGGATTCACCAGAGACAGAGTGGGGAGTAGAACAGGCAGACAGACTGAAAGCACTGCCGAGGGGAGACAGGAGAGGTCTGCCTCGCCATGTGGGATTCTCCCTGGCCAGCTGGGAATTGAACCAGCGCTGCGAAGGCTGCAGACAGCTTCACAGTGCTGCTCTCAACCTGCTGCACCACTGTGGGGGCCCAGAGATTTATTAGTTCTAATGGTGATCTCCTTAAGTTTCCTTCTGTCTATTCTTCTTAAAGTGGCACACTCAATCAATGTAATTCTGCTTTAATTTCTTTGATAAGTTTTACCACCTTAGAACATTTAACATACGTAATCATGTTTGTTTTAGCACTTCTTCATTAAAATATATTTGACATGTATCATTATATAAATTAAAACATGTTAGTTCAAACACATGTAATGTAATGTGTGGCACATTAGTGCCATTATCATGTTACATAATTATTCTTTCTTTTTAAGGTCTGGGATAACTAAACTTCCTGTCTTTTAGCAAATTTTATAACCATAACTCAACGTTTTTTAAAAAAGGATTTATTTATGCATATAAGAACTAGGATACAGGCCAGAGGTGGGGGGTGAAAAGATTTACCAGAGACAGAGTGGGGAACAGAACAGGCAGACTGACTGAAATACTTCTGAGGAGAGCAACAGGCGAGTCAGGAGAGGTATGCTGTGTCATGTGGGTAGCTCCCTGGCTGGGGATTGAACTTGTGCGGCAGTGGCTGTGGATAGCTTCATAGGTTGCTTCTCAACCCCTTATGCCACCAGGGTGACCCCACAACATTGTTGTTTATATTCTCTATACTGTGCATTAGATCTCTAGGGCTTAACTGTTACTTGTTTCAAGTTTGTACCCTTAAAACAACTTCAGACCTTTTCCACCTCCCAAACCCATTCCTAAGTTACCATTTCACTGTTTTTATGAGTTTGACTTTTTTCAGATTCCACATACAGATGAGGCCATACAACACATGTCTTTTCTGCCTGACTTACTCACATAGCTCAATGAGCTCAAGGTCCATTCCATGTTGTTGCAAATGGCAATATGTCCTTTCTGACGGATGAATAATATTTCAATGCGTGCTTGCGTGTTAGGTTATTTCTCTATCTGGCTATTGTGAATAATGCTGCAATAAACTTGGTAACGCAGATAATAGTATAATATCCTATTTTCATTTCCTTTGGATATATTCAAAAGAAGAATTGCTGGATTATAAGAGAGATTTATTTTGAATTTTTTTTTGTTTTAATAGAGGCATGTTTTATTTATGTGTTTGTTTGTTTGTTTTGTTTATACATGTACTGGGTATAGTCAGAAGCGCGGGAGGGTGAGAGAATTCACCAGAGCAGGGAGCAGAGCAGGCAGAAGGACCGAGACACACTGCTGAGGGGAGCAGCAGGCAGCAGGAGAGGTCTGCGCACCATGTGGGACCCTCCTCCGGTGGCCGGGGAGCAGCCGGCGATCGAACAGGTGCCGTAGAGGCCGCGGGCAGCTTCGCAACCCAGCGCTCAACCGCTGTGCCACCTGGGAGGCCCTATTTTGAATTTTTTGAGTAACCTTCATATTGTTTTCCATAGTGGACGAACAAATGCATATTCTCAACAACAGTGTGCAAAAGTTCCCTTTTCTCCACATCCTTGCCAACACTTGTTATATCTTCTTGATGCTACTCATTCTAATGGGTATGAAGTGACATCTCATTGTGGTTTTGGTTGGCATTAAATGACTACCTTATCCGTTATATTAGTAGTAAAAGACATTCTTTTTACTGCTATACTCATTACTTATATAAGCTCATTAGCATTCATTATATGACTGCATTAAGTATAAATTCATAGCAGCATTTACATAAATTCATTAAAAGGTATTATTCTTTTCACTACTGTACTCTCAGCTATGAGAAAATGACTGGCACATACATAAAATGTATTCAAAATGATCTGAGTCAAAAGTATATTAACGAGGGCCTCCCCGGTGGCACAGTGGTTGAGCGCTGGGTTGCGAAGCTGCCCGCGGCCTCTGCGGCGCCGGTTCGATCCCCGGCTGCTCCCCGGCCACCAGAGGAGGGTCCCACATGGCGCGCAGACCTCTCCTGCCGCCCGCTGCTCCCCTCAGCAGTGTACTTCGGTCCTTCTGCCTGTTCTGCTCCCCGCTCTGGCTCTGGTGAATTCTCTCACCCTCCCGCGCTTCTGACTGTACCCAGTGCATGTATAAACAAAACAAAGAAAGAAAGAAAGAAAGAAAACATGCCTCTATATAAAAAAAAAATAAAATAAAATAAAAATAAAATAAAATAAAAAATAAAAAAGCATATTAACGAATATCTGATAACAGCAGGAATGCAGGGAAAGAGAGATCGAATGAATTTTCAAAAATCAGTATTCTTAGTCACTTCCAAGGACCTTTAAAGATATAGTCTTGAAAAGATTCTTCCAGATTATCAACCTCTGGAGTACCCACAAGAAAATTATAAATCTCTTTATGTTTATCTGTGCAGTACACATTAACTCACCTGGAAAGTTTTGACTTGGGAATTCTTCCTCCAGTATCCATGGTTCCTCTCCTTGTTCCAGTCTGAATATCACCTCTGGCTTGGTAATACAATACTCTGCAAAATGAAAAAATTAGGACTTGGACCATGTGGTCTAGACTTCAGGGTCTTTGATAGGGCTGTTTTTAACCAGAGAGGCCTAACTTTAGGGTCTTTGAAAGAGGAAACCTCTGGTGAAATTTCAGTGATGATGATATTAAACATTTCACTGGAGAGGTGAGCAACCACAAATATCTTTCTAGTGCCCAAGAGTAAAACAAAATAATGATTCCTGAATTCCAATCTTAAATATCATTAAACTCTACAGTGTATCATATATCCCATAATTAAGAGTTTTAAAATGCTATTAGAATTACATAGTAAATAGAACTTACCCACTGAAACGAGGTTGCTATAGTTCTCCAGCATCACATCTCTATACAGGGTCCGCTGAGTTGAGTCCAGGTGCTGCCACTCCTCCTGGGTAAAGCCCACAGTCACATCCTTAAATGATACTGATCCCTGGAATTTCTGTTCAACCTGAAATGTTCAGAATTCGATGGTAAAAGACATATGGGAACTAATTTCTAAAGTGATTATTATATAATGATTACTGAAATGTCTTAAAGAGTATTTGTTTTGCTTTATACTCGGAGATGAGAAATCACAATGGAAATGTTATGTGGGGCCTCCCCTGGTGGCGCAGCGGTTGAGAGCTAGTCTGCGAGGCTGCCCGCAGCCTCTGCAGTGCCGGTTCATTCCCCAGCCTCCGGCAAGGGTCCCACAAAATAACAAAAACAAAAACAAAAAAAAAAACAAAGAAATGTTATGTGCTTGCATTAAGATATTATTCATGTAAAAAAAATTATCATGTTCCAACAATGTATCAGGAACTATTCTAGTTCTTAAAAATACTAAGATTAACAAAAAGTTTTCTAGTATTCAAGAAGGATATAATCTGGTAAGAAAACAAATGCAGTAGTATGTTACAAGTGCAATGGTGAAAGTTCACACAAGACAGGATAACTTATGTGAGAAGTGAATTTTTTTTGAGTTTCACTGAAAAAGAACAGCTGTTGGATGAAGAATAATACCGTGTTGTCATGAACATAGGGACATGGCACAAGCATGTCAGGGGGCCTCTAACACACTTGGGAAATAAGCAATATAATATAGGAAGAATGTAGAACACAGCCTGGAAATGCAATTAGAGAAAGGGCCATGGAGGTATTCAGGGAATAAATTACAGAGTAAGTTTAGAGCAACCGTCTTCAAAGTATGTGATCACCTTCCACCTTAGAAAATATCTTTGAGCACTACATAAGTTTTTATGTGTAAATCATAGAAATAAGCTCCACTATGAATTTTAATTTTATTCTTATTTAGACTTGAAAATGTAGAGACATCCTAACATTTTATTGCACATGTTCTCGGTTCTAACCCTTCGATTCAGTAAATAATCAGGATATACAGAAAACCAGGGTCCTCCCTAGTGACACAAGGGGTTAAGACACAATCTATGAAGCTGTCCGCAGCCAATATAGCACGAGTTTGATCCCCAGTCAGGGAGGTGACCCACATGGTACAGCAGACCTCTCCTGACTCGCCCACTGCTCCCCTCAGCAGTGTATTTCAGTCAATCTGCCTGTTCAGTTCCCTACTCTGTCTCTGGTGAATCCTCTTACCCCTCCACACCTCTGGCCTGTACCCCAGAGGGTATTATGCATTCTTGCATGCATAATAAAATAAAATCTAAAAAAAAAAGGAATTTTGAAATTATTGCACTTTTTTTAAAAGATTTATTTATTTATGCATACAAGAGCTGGGATGCAGGCCAGAGATGCAGGGGTGAGAGGATTCACCAGAGACAGAGTAGGGAGCAGAACAGGTGAATTGACTGAAATACACTGCTGAGGGGAGCAGTGGGCAAGTCAGGAGAGGTCTGCTGAGCCATGTGGGTAGCTCCCTGGCCGGGGATCAAACTCGTGCTACAGTGTCTGGATAGCTTCAGAGTGCTGCACCTTAACTCCGTGCGCCACAAAGGAGGCCCTGAAATTATTGTACTTGAAATGTGTGTAGAACACAGAGGAGAAGATACCTGATTGGATTGTTTTTGACATTATCAATAGCGTGTGTGTCTATTTCGGGGATCAATATTGCAGAGAAATGGGAAATAAAGAAAATATTTCAGCATATACTGAAATTATGTTAACAGGTTTTAATTTTTTTATATATAGAACCAAATCCCTTGAAAAAGGAAGGAAAAGCTAAAGGACAAAACACCATCACTTACAGAAACTACTGCATTAGGACCCGCGATGTAAACAGAGCACTGATAAAAGGAGACAGACATCAACAGAATGTGTTTGGTCATTATGTCCAAAGGAGAGAAAGGAAAGGTTCCTTCCAAATACATGCATGAAGAGTCACAAAATAAGTCATTTAAAAGAAAACAAATTGAGCGTCAGATTTTAACAAGACAGATTTTAAATATAATAAATCAGAAGCATAATACTGGAGATCTCGAATGAAAACAGAGCTTGGTAGAATTAATAATTGGTGGTGTTTGAAGTCATCAGAATGAATCAGAAGTCTCTCAGAGATCTAAGAGACAGAAAGAAAAAATAATAAGAATGAAATCTAAGGGGAAATGTTTTAGTGACTTATAGAAAACAGGTCATGAGAACCATGAATAAATTTTCTAAATAGTAGAAATAATAATTAAAAATGAATAGGTTTTAAGACTATAAAGGTATGATCTCAGTAGATATAGAAGAATGATTAAAAAAGATTCTCAGGGGCCTCCCCAGTGGCGCAGCGGTTGAGCACTGGGCTGTGAAGCTGCCTGCAGCCTCTGCAGCGCCAGTTCAATCCCCGGCCGCTGGTGAGAGGGTCCCACATGGCGCGCAGACCTCTCCTGCCGCCCACTGCTCCCCTCAGCAGTGTACTTGGGTCCTTCTGCCTGTTCTGCTCTCCACTCTGGCTCTGGTGAATTCTCTCACCCTCCTGCGCTTTTGACTGTACCCAGTGTTTGTATAAATAAATAAAAATTAAAAAAAAAAAGATTCTCAGCAAACTAGAAACAGAAGAATTTCCTCAATGTAAAAAGGTTTTTTTTTTTTACAAATACTTTCAGTAAATATCACATTTAACAGTGAAAATAGGGAGTGTTTAACTTAAAACAAGAACCAAGATAAGGATGCCAGTTATCTCCAATTTTATTCAACATTTTTCTAAAGTTCATAGAGTGATATGGAAAAAAAATCATATACACATAATATCCAAATAAAAGTATATAAAATACAAGTTATAAAATTTGGATACAAGTTCAATGTAAAAGTCAGAAAAATTTTAAAGGTACAGTTAACAAGAGTATGAAAATTGAAAATTTTTATAAAAAGTTGTAAAATCTAAATCAAGAAAATAAAGAAGACCCAAATAAATGGAAGGCTATAACAGATTTATCAATATTACAAAAATATCAACTCTCACCATGCTGATATAAAATTCTTACCATTCTCTAACAAAATTCCAATAGAAACTTTCTTAGATAGTAGACAAGAAATTCTAAAATATGTGGAAATGCAGAGGGCTAAGAACAGATAAGAAAAAATTGAGAATAAGGCAAGGAGAAATATTATCTTATGCCAAATAAAATTAATCAATGTACCATAATTAAAAGTGTGCTCCAAGCATAAGGATTTTCAAATGTGGCAATGAAACAGAGAAGAGTTTCCCCCAAACAACAAATACTTTGTTAACTGATTTTGACAAAGATACAGAAGGACAGTCAGGTCAATAAACAGCACCATTTTATTACAATGAATAGTTATTGCTATCTTAAGTATAAACAGAAATCAATTTAGACAATATATAGATCTAAATTTGAAAAACAAAACATAAATTTTCAAAAATTCCATAGGAAAAAAATTTATGATGTCAGGGTAGGCAAAAATTTTCTAAACAGGGCAAACTGTATTAATCACACTTTATTAAGATCTTATCATTATCAAGAGACTGAAAGGATAAAATTTCAAGAAGAGATATTCACTATATATCCTACAAGGAAATCCTATCAGTAATATACAAAGAAATTTTATAAACAAATGAAGGAATAAGAAGCAGGCCATTTCAACAAAACTCATAGCAAACATTTCCATGGAAAATATGGAAGTCTGGAAATAATGGGAAAAATTTGAGTAGACAATTTACAAATGAAACATCAAGATAGAATGTCATTTTAAAGAACTATGTAAAATAGCAACAAAAATTCTAAACCTGGTGGAAATTTTTTTTAAAGATTTATTTATACAAGCACTGGGTACTGTCAGAAGCGTGGGAGGGTGAGAGAATTCACCAGAGCCAGAGCAGGGAGCAGAACAGACAGACTGATGAATACACTGCTGAGGGGAGCAGCGTGTGGCAGGAGCAGTCTGCGTACCATGTGGGACCCTCGCCGGCGGCCGGGGATCGAACTGGCGCTGCAGAGACTGGGGGCAGCTTCACAGTCCAGCGAACAACCGCTGCGCCACCGGGGAGGCCCTTGTAAATGAATATATTTTCACATAAAGGTTGAAAAAATGTTAATAGCATACCCAAATAAGAAATACAGTGTTTGGGGGCCTCCCCAGTGGTGCAAGGGGTAAAGACACAACCTATGAAGCTGTTCACAGCCACTGCAGCACGAGTTCGATCCCCTGGCCTGCCAGGGAGCAACCCACATGTCGCAGCAGACCTCTCCTGCCTCACCTGCTGCTCCCCTCAGCAGTGTACTTTCGTCAATCTGGCTGTTCTGTTCTCCACTGTCTCTGGTGAATCCTCTCACCCCCCCCCCCATGCCTCTGGCCTGTACCCCAGCTCTTGTATGAATAAATAAATAAATCTTGGAAAAAAAATACAGCATTTTGGGTAAAGGGAAAAAGCTGATGGAAGCACAAAGGTGTAAGAAGGAATGAAAAGTTGAAAATATAATTTAAAGCAACTACTAATATATCTTTTAAAAGCTATGACACACACAAAAGTAAAATATAACATTAGCAAAGTATACACAATATTAACTTTGGTCTCTATCCCAAGGAATTGAAATCAGTATCTCGAGAGATATCTGCACATCCATGTTCATTACAGCATTATTCAGAATAGCTAAGATATTGAAATAACATAAATGCCGTTCAACAGACAAGGAAAATATACTAAACAAATGCAAATGCAAACCACTATGATATTACCACCTCATACCTGTTAGGATGACTATGCAAAAGAGGAGATAACAAATGCTGGTAGGATGTGAAGAAAAAAAGAACCGTTGTGAACTTTTAGTGAGAATATAAATTAGTACACTCACTTTCAAAAACACTATAGAGGAGCCTCCCCGGTGGCGCAGCGGTTGAGCGCTGGGTTGCGAAGCTGCCCACAGCCTCTACAGTGCTGGTTCGATACCCGGCCGCTGGGCGAGGGTCCCACATGGCGCGCAGACCTCTCCTGCCGCCTGTTGTTCTCCTCAGCAGTGTATTACGTCGGTCTGCCTGTTCTGTTCCCCGCTCTGGCTCTGGTGAATTCTCTCACCCTCCCGCACTTCTGACTGTACCCCAGTGCTTGTATAAATAAATAAATAAATCTTTAAAAAAAAAAAAAAGACTCTTATCACCTTAAAAAAAAAACTAGAGTTCCTCAAAAAATTAAAAAAATTTCCATATGTTCCAGCAATTGCATGCAAGTGTGTGTCTGTGTGTGTGTGTGTGTGTGTGTGTGTGTCTTATTTTGAAGAGATTTCTGCAACCCCAAGTTCACTGCCAAATTATTTACAATATCCACATTATGGAAACAGTCTAGGAATCTATAAGATTAAGAAAATAAAGGAAACATCATATTTCAGTAATTGTTTAAAATCATTTATTTTACAAGGCACTCAAAAACAAATAAACCAGATGACTAGGATTAGAATGGGACTTGCTTGATGAAATAGTTTTTTGTTTTTTTTAAAAAAATCACATACTGAAAGGAAAGCTTTCCCTTTGGGAACATAATCAAGACAAGATAACCTATTCTTGCTTCTACTCATTACATGTTAGAGCATCTGCCAGTTTAAAAAAAAATTAAAGAAGACACTGAAGAACAACACCTAAGAGCTAATTTTCAGCATACGGGAAAATTGAAGTGATTGAAATCATGACTGAGGGAGGCAGTGTTGAGAAGACAAACTTTGTTTTTGAAACCTTTGATGACCATGATTCTGTAGACAAGACTGTCATTCAGAAACAACACACTGTGAATGGCCAACACTGTGAAGTAAGAAAAGCCCTATCTAAGTAAGAGATGGTCAGTGTTTCATCCAGCCAAAGAGGTTCAAGGGGTTCTGGAAACTTTGATGGTGGTTGAGGAGGCGGTTTTGGTGGGACAATTCTGGTCACAGAGGAAACTTCAGTGCTAAAGGTAGCTTTGGTGGCAGCCATGGTGGTGGTGGCAGATATGGATGATTATAATGGATTACCAAATCCATTATAGTGGAAGTAGTAGAAACTATAATGATTTTGGCAATTACAACAATCAATCTTCAAATTTTGGACCCATGAAAGGAGGAAACTTTGAAGGCAGAAACTCTGGCCTATAGGGTGGTGGGGGTCAACACTTCACCAAACTATGAAATCAAGGTGGCTATGTTGGTTCCAAGCAAGAGTAGCTATGGTAGAGGTGGGTAGTTTTAATTAACTGCCGGGAAACAAAGTGTAGCAGGAAAGAAGGACCAGAGAAGATAGGGAGGCTACAGGTTGCAACAGATTTGTGAACTTGGCCAAGCACAGTGGTGGCAGGGCCTAGCTGTTCAAAGATCAATAACTCATGTGTATGGGCAAAAAACTTGAGGAATATAATATTTGTGACTAATTGTATAACAGATTATTCCAGTTTCTGTTCTGTAGAAAGTGCAAGGTATATTCCAAAAAGGGTTTTTACAAAGATTTTATTTTTGCACCTATGCTGTTGATTGCTAAATGTAATAATCTGATCATGACACTGAATAAATGGGTCTTTTTTAAAAATGTGCTGTGTAAAGTTAGTCTATTCTGAAGGCATCTTGGTAAACTATCCCAACAGTGTGAAGTTAGAATTCCCTCAGGGTGATGTCAGGTTCCAACTGAAATTTATTTATAATCTGCTTGGGTAGAGAAGTCATTGTTTTCAGAAATCTTGGTGTAGTTGAACTGATAGTTACTGTGTTATGACTTGGAGTTCACCATTGAAAGGGTCACCCAGGCAGAGTCATGGAGATTATTTGGTTATTAATGATTATTGACACATCCTATGCAGTATATCTAAATTGAATTATGGTACCACATAAAGTCACGGATGAGAATGAAGCTTGTGTAATCAAGCTTGTATCATGTGTATCAAAATCAATAAATGATTTTGTATCTTCTTAAAAAAATGTAAGAATTGGAAAAATACAAGATCTGTCTTATAAAATTCAGTAGGAAAAAACCTGAGAAAGCCATACATACACTTATGAAAGTTATACAAACTTAGTAACAGGCACGAGTTTTTCACCCATTAGCACAGAAATAATTTTCCTATCTGAAAAGGAGGGAGTAAAAGTAGTCTTCCAAGAATATAACAATGTACCTAGAAAAATTTTAAATGCTCATATTTTGTAACTCAAAAATATTAACCACAGAACTCTAAGAATCACTGGACAAGCACAGTGGTGGCAAGCTTACAGAACATCGGCATGGCAGAAACACTCGGTGAAAACATAAATTACTAGTTTTACCCCCAGATTTTCTATTCCAGTAGGTTTGAGGCAGGGGTAAAGAATCCTCAATTTAAACAATTTCCTAGGAAATACTGCTACTTTTGGTCAAAGAACCTCCCTTCAAGAAGCACTGTTCTAGCATCTGGATGTACACTTGCATTTTTACAGAGAGAATAACAAGGATATTGAAGCATTATTTAATTACTAAAAAATGAAAATGACTGCAATGCCTACCAAGAAAATACATTATTTTGAACATGTAGTGACATGATCGGAAAATATAGCAAAAAAGGATTAAGCAATTGATATATAGCGGCAAATGTTAAATTACTGATGAACTGGGTGAAAAATATATATCATGTATACATTAAGATGATTTACATATTCTTAAAACTATAAACAGTATTGTTTATGTGCATTTTTCAATGATCATATAGAGATAATATGAGAAAACTGGTAGACAAAAGGTAAAAACTTAGAACTAAACCACAGGCACGATAAGGACTCCAAGAAGCGTCATCAGAAGATGCAGCAGCCCTTGCTCCAGGAAGGTAACTACAATTAAGTCAATGGTGACTTTTGCCTGTATAGAGTCCACAAGTGGAGGGAAAGAGGCAAGACAGAATGCCATGGAATGAAATTTGCTGAGGAAGTGCAGAAACATTTATAAGAGAATTTAATTTAAGCCACCTGCTGCACACTCAGCCTGGCTAACAGAGTTTTTTGTATCAGGCATACAGGTAATTCATTCCTCTATAAACATACTAGGTTTTATACCTGGATCAAATCAGTACACCACAAAACTGACTACTTGAACTATCTCTTAAACCTCTTCAGTGAGAAACAGTTTGAGGCACTCATTTCAGGGCTGTTACTGGAAGGTATTCATAAACATCCCTATATTAAAACCAAAATAGATATATTCCAGGAAGTCTTTGTGTGTTGAAAAGAATCGGTCTGTCTGAATGCAAAATATAGGGTCTTACTTGCTACCATGTTATTGGAACATCACAGACTTATTTGCAGTGGTCAACTTAAAAACTCTAAGATATAAGATGATGGTAATATATCCACAAGCCATCTTGGCCCTGCTATTGATCTGTTACTTTCTTTTTCTGTGAGGTTCTATTTTGACAAATCATTAATATCTCATTTTAACATGGACTTGCAAGTCTCAAATTCCATTGTAAAATAAAGTGTCGTTTGAACAAACACACACCTTACCTGGGATTTGCCCATTTTCTGTTGTCCTTAGACAAATGTAGGCAACACTGAAGATAAGCTAGGGTAGAGAAAAAGAGATGGGCTCATGAAAAATCTGGACTTCCTCACAGCATCTGAATTCTCCCACACCACAAAGTTACACACATCCTTTAGATAGGAAGAATGTCAATGTCCCTTTGACCTTCAGAAGAGACAGGTGGTGAATGACCATCTATATAAATGTCTCTAATATATAACTGTTATGGTATCATTACTAAATTTAAAAACTAAGCCCCCACTCCTTGCCCAGCTAGCAAGTTTGGAAGGCTTGACTGAATAAAGGAAGTGGCTGGGACTGCCATGGAAACTGGGCCATTAAGCCAATGATCCAGATCATTAGTCAGGACACACCCAAGACAAGTCATCCTAACCAACTAATGATGCCTGGAGTATAAACATAGCCCTGGGACACACTCTCTGGGCAGCAGACCTTTCCTGTCCCATCTGCTGCTTTTCTGAACAGTGTTATTTCAATAAATCCACCTTTTCTGTTCTCCACTTTGTCTCTGGTGAATTCTTTCACACCCCCAATGCCTTGGGCCAACACCCCGGATCTTTTCCACCACAATAATCATATAACCAGTGGGCATAAATATGTTAAGGAGGTGAATGTAAACATTGTTTCCTAAGTATTTCTCAACTCTTTAAACCTCTCCATGTTCATACTCAAAGAAGTAAAATCGAAAAATTGGTTAAAACAAGAATATTCAAGGGGCCTCCCCCCATGGCGCAAGCAGTTGGGCGCTGCACTATGAAGCGGTCTGCAGCCTCTGCAGCACTGGTTTGATCCTGGCCGGCCAGTGAGACTCCCACATGGCGCGGCAGACCTCTCCTGTCTCACCCACTGCTCCCCTTGTTATAGGGCAACCCCGATATAAAATGGGTTGCCTGGCTGTGGGTCCTCACCCGCGAGCTTTAAAAGGGACTTACTAATACTCCACCACAGGCACACACAAAAGGTTAATAAAAGGTTTATTTACAAGGGAAAGGGAATTAAGGAAATGTACAACTCAGGGAGAAAATAGGGAAATAAAGTCTTTAATGCATCCTATCTGATCCGCCCACCTGGAAACCCAAAGGCACTCTCAGAGCTGGCCTAACACTGCGAGCTGGCGTGGAGCCAAAATGGGGGATCCCCTCCAAAGCCCACTTGTATGGCTTTATACCACACCTGGCTGCTTAACCCCACCCTCAGGTCCCAGCCACCTTCCCTTTGGTGGTGATGGGATTTGGAGTTTCCAGTGTCTTTTGGCTTTGGTCTGGAGTGGGGGGTGGAGTCCACAAAGCCTGTATGGAATTAGCTTTAGGACATCCTTTTCCCCCTAACACTCTCAGCAGTGTATTTCGTCAGTCTGCCTGTCCTGTTCCCCGCTGTCCCCGGTGAGTCCTCTCACCCTCTTGCTCATCTGGCCTGTACCCCGGTTCTTGCATAAATAAATAAATAATTTAAAAAAAAAAACAACAAAACAAAACAAGAATACTCAGGGCTAAACTGTTTAGCAATTTTCCTACTAAAACTAAACAGTTTTCTAAAGCTAAACCTTTGGTTAGTGACTCCACAGGAAATTAGAAAAGCAGGGCTTTAAGGACATAGCTTTATTTTAATTTGACTTTGATGCAGGTCCTCAAAGTGATCTTCTATAAGAAACGTGCTTTCCTTGTGTGGGAAAGTAAATAGTACTGGTTTAGGAGTAAGGAGATCTGATTTTTAAAAAAAAATATTTAGTTATTTTTCTACAAGAATTGGGGTTCAGGCCAGAGATGCGGGAGGTGAGAAGATTCACCAGAGACAGAGTGGGAAACAGAACAGGCAGACGGAGCGAAGTACACTGCTGAGGGGAGCAGCGGGTGAGACAGCAGAGGTCTGTCCCGCCATGTGGATTTCTCCCTGGCCGGCCGGGAATCGAACTCATGCTGCAGTGGCTGCAGATTGCTTCATAGGTTGCATCTTAACCCCTGCGCCACCAGGGAGGCCCGGATATGATTTTTTTTTATTCTTCACTGAGATCCTTCAAAGCACTAACCTTCAGAAGGAAAAAATAATTATTAATTCTTGAAGATCCTTCCTGAATGGTTGGACAAGTTAGTACTAAGTACCTGCATATATCAAGGTGCAACAGTGGACGTGACTGGGGACCAGTTCAGAATAGCTCAAGAGAGAAACAAAGGAATTGAGTCTGTCTAGGGAAGGATGATGCCCGAACCACCCCACCTGGCAAGCTCGTCTCCCACACCCGGCACCCATCACTCAAGCGCACAGCTCCTCCAGCAGCACCGCCCCCCCCCCCCCCCCCCGCCGCTCCACCGCCCGTCAAGCGCGAGAACAGGTACTCCCCTAGGCCTCTGAACCCCGGCAGCAGGTAGGCGCCGCCAGCTCGCTCAGGGGCGAGTCACGAGTGTGCGACGGCCCCGCGTCGCCCGGGAGCGCCCCAGACTCACTCTGCCAGGTGTCCGGGAAGTTCCGCCACATCCCCCGGCGCCCAGCGCATCACTCCGACCGCCGCCCCTCAGCCGCGCGGGCACCCCTCCCGCCCCCCCCCGCCCCGCCCCCGTCCAGCCCTCCGAGGATTACCCGCTGCTCCCGAGTCGGGTGAAGTTGCCTCCCGCTGAGCGCAGGGACTCGGCGGCCCCGGAACGGGCTCGCCCGCCAGCACCGAGGCGAACAGAAGGGAAACCCGGAAGTGCCCCGGCGCCGCGGGCGGGAGTAGGCATGCGCGGAAGGCAGCGCGCCCGCCCGGGACCGCCGGCGCGGGTCCCCAGACCTGCCTGTCCTCGGCTCTCCGCGGGCGGATGTTTGGGATTGGGGCAGACGTGCAGCCTTAGCAAATGGGATGTCTGGTGGAGTCTCTGAGATAGTTCCCGAACAATTTCTAACTTTGGTTTGCTCAGTGGCTCCTTGGAAGCTAAGGATTACAGCTGAGTGGATTGAGTATGTAATGTGGAGACAGCTGTCAAGGAAAGGAAATTGAAAGTTAATCGAAAATTACTACAGTAGGGGCCTCCCTGGTGGCACAAGGGGTTAAGCACCGCACTAGGAAGCAATCCAAAGCCTCTGCAGCACCAGTTAGATTCCCTGCTGGCCAGGGAGCAACTCTCATGGCGCAGCAGACCTCTCCTGACTCTCCAGCTGCTCCCCTTGTAACAGGGTGGTCCCCAGGAAAGGGGGAGGTTCCCTGCCCCACCCAAGGGAGGGTGGAGCTGAGCAGGAAGAGGAGAAGCAGAAGAGACTGAGGAAGGAAGCAGGATGGAGCCAGGAGACCTGGAGGAGGCGCATGGAGCCTAGAGACAAGTAAAGAAACTGCGCTTGTCTTTTGGTCGTGGACGGGGTGACACAGATGTGGGTGAGACCCATGGGGAGGTGACAATGGCAGCTTTTATCTTGATGTTGATTTTGCTCTTTTCCTTCCGGGCTTATCCGGTTGTTTGTGACCCTTTTCTGTGGGTCCCCACTGGAAGATGCTTTAGACTTTTAGCAGGCTTTGGGGCCTTGTTCTGGGCCAATCCCATTTGGATGGACTTTTACCCACGAGGGGATGGGTAACTTTGGGTGCTTCATTTAGAAACTAGACTCTTTGCCTTACCTGTATTGTTTCCTAGTTTTATTAAAGTTCCTTCCCATTAAAGTCTCCTATGTTTTGTGTTGATGCGGCGGATGGCAGAACCCATGTAGAATAGGCAGGTTTGCGGGGTTTGGGCTGCCCCTCTCCCTGTCTTATAACAGATTCTTTGCTTGTCTCTAGGCTCCATGCGCCTCCTCCAGGTCTCCTGGCTCCATCCTGCTTCCTTCCTCAGTCTCTTCTGCTTCTCCTCTTCCTGCTCAGCTCCACCCTCCCTTGGGTGGGGCAGGGAACCTCCCCCTTTCCTGGGGACCACCCTGTTACACCCTCAGCAGTGTATTTCAGTCTGTCTGCCTGTTCTGTTCTCCACTCTGTCTCTGATGAATCCTCTCACCCCCCCACCCCGCATCTCTGGCCTGTACCCCAGCTCTTGTATGCATAAATAAGTAAATCTTAAAAAAAAAAGAAAGAAAGAAAATTACTGCAGTAGAAAATAGAATCCAATGAAAGAATATTTCACAACATCAGCTATTTTTTCAGGCTAAAAGCTGTTGGGCGCGGGGATTTGATCAAAATCATGACAGCAATAAACAAAATTGTAGATAAATCGGAAAGTAGAAAAATCCAAAAGAATAAAGTAACTTATTCTTTCCTCTGTGACATTCAATTACATGAATGGAGATACAACTTTTCATAGATTCAAAATTCTTTAACAAAATCACAATAAGAAGCTCGGTTTTTCTATAAGCATTTTATTTTAATTTTTAATCACTGTGTACTTAACAAGCATTCTCAGCTTCATCAGGAATAAGTGAAAACCTAAATTAACAGGAAATATTTCAAAAAGCAGTAAAATAGGCATCTAAGAAATACAAATATGTGTAATATTGTTCTGTTATTCTAGATAGTTTGGCATCTGTTTTATGGAAACACAATGGCCTGGTTAGAATACAGTCAGACCTCGATCGAATCATTGTTTACCATCCTTAGATTCAACCAATCGCTATTACAAGTACATACATATTATGGTTGCTTCTGTATGGAACATATGCAGATTTATTCTTTCCTGTTAATATTCCCTAAACTATATATATAACAGCTATTTACTTAGCATTTACAATATACATCATACCTATTACACTATAGTACAACGTAATATTACAGGTATTGTAATCACGAGATGATTTAAAGTTTATAGGAGTTTGTGTGTAGGTTATTTGCAAATATTATGACATTTTATGTAAGGGATTTGAGCATCCACATATTTTGGTATCCATGTATTCACATGCATTTTTAAACATAGTATAATAAATATATCATTTCAAAACAGTGAGGGAACAATGGAATTTTGCAAACAACTTCCAAAAATTTAGGATAAAGGTTCTATCCATAGTTCACATGATACAATTCACATGTGATGAGAAAATCTATTATTGAGCAAATTAATATAATAAAGATGCCAGCAGGACTTCCAGCCCAGGTGCAATTAACACTCCAATGCAGGCATAGTTAACAAGTTTGCTTACTTACAGCTCTATTCCTTTAAAGATTCATGGCTAGGGACTTAGCACTCCTATTCTATCTAAACAAAGTTGCATTTCAAAAGGGCCTAACTGTTAGCCAGTCAAGCTGGTCTGTCTCTCCAAGGCCATCTCTGCGTGTCTGCCTCTTTCCCCCTTTGCCTGTCCTTCCTCCCTGGTCTGGGGACTTCGCAGCAAATGGTTATACCTGCTGAAAAACAATGTTATCAATGTAACAAATATGAAGACAGTTCTGTATAAAAGGCACACTTTGTCTTTAAACGGGTGCTCAGACCGCCTGGGACTACCCTGGTCTGGGACCTCACTTTTGTGTAATAAAGCTTTTCCTGACCTCAGCCTTCCTGAAATACTGCTTGTTCTTCCTCTGCCTGGGTAAAAAGCCAAAATTTCTACAACACATTGTCTGAAAAATTGAAATGTTTAAGAAAACCACTAGTTAATAAAAAGAAAGTAATTAAGATGGGGAAATGGGGGCCTCCCTGGTGGTGCAGGGGTTAAAGACAGTATTGCCAGCCACTGAAGCACAAGTTGGATCCCCGCACCAGGGAGCAACCCACATGGTGCAACAGACCTCTCCTGCCTGGTCCATTGCGCCCCTCAGCAGTGTACTTCTGTTCATCTGCCCGTTCTGCTCCCCACTCTCTTTGATGAATCCTCTCACACACCCCCACACACCTTTGGCTTACACCCCAGTTCTTGCATGCCTAAATGAATAAATCTTAAAAAAAAAAAAAAAAACGGGGAAATTTGACAGTAAATATATAAACCATAAATTTAATCTGATACATTTTATTGTAAAAAAACAACTCAGATCTAGTAAGAAAAAGTTAAAAAAAACCCAGGAAATTATATTTTTACTAGTAGAAAGAAAAGATGTATTAATAAGGAGATATTTAAATCAAAAGGCAAAAATTAAAGGGGATACGGACCTTAGCAGAAATATAATAAAAAATAAAATGCAAATAAATACTATAAATATAAAGTCTATTATGAGAATAGAAAGAAATGTAAGTTTGCACAACTAAAATAATTTAGGGCAGTCTATTCTAATGGAAGGCTATGTACTCAGTAAACATAACAATGTAAAGTACACTGGGGAGGGGTAGGGGGTAGGGGGTTGGCACCACTCCACCACTGTGCCCGTCACCTGTGGGCAACCCCTCCCCGGATTACTCTGGCCATTCCCAATTACTTATTTCTGTGAGTTATCACAGGACTCTCTCCATGAAATAGCAGCAGCAAACAAACCACTAGGAGGTCAAACATCTTGACATATCAAGACAGGGCTGCCGCAGAGCCTTCTGGGAAGTGCAGTCTCAGCGCGAGGCGCGGGCACTTTCTGCTCATGTGCAACGCGACCCACTCGCGGAAGTCGCCATTTTCAGCCTGACGCCCCAGGTGGGTCGGAGGGCCCTGGAGCCGCCAGGTCTGTGCGGTGCCGCAGAGGGCGGGGCCTGGAATCTCCGGGAGCCGGGATCGGAGGCCAAGCCCTAGCAGGTGTGTGAAGGGCCTCCTGGGGGGGCTGAGACCTGGGGCGGGCGGGCGGGTCCCCGCGCGCTGCTACTTATTACTCAGCCCAGAAGCCGCCGCGCTCCTCTTCGCGCCGCGCTGGCCTCCCGGGAGGGTGGAGGAAGGGGTCGGGCAGCGGACTGGGTGGGTGGCCGCTTCGTGCGTCCCCAGAGATTTTGGTTCTTGCTTGCGTGGGAGGAACAACCCGGGGAACGCGGGGGCGGCCCGGCAGAGGGGCGACTTTGTGACCTGCATCCCAGATTTTGCACGTCCAGGAGGGTATGTCGGCTGGGCCGGCTGCGGGAGACGTGGCTTTGTGAGGCTGCGGGGACGCGGGCTCCAGTTGGGCACCTGCCAGTAAATGAGCATGTTAACTTCAGTTATTCAGATATTAACTTCATATTATATTCAGATATTCATCTGTGAAATGCTAATAATCTTCAGTATTAGGTAGGGGATATATGCATTTCTATGTGTGTGTATATCTATAAAAGGACTGTAAAACACAGCTGTTTTTATTACATGGTATGTTATTTTCATTAGTGGTTTATTTAATCATCTTTACCTTCCTTTTACTTGGTTTTAGACAGCTGCATTTTGAAAAATGCGAATGCTAAATACTAAATTCAGAGACGAGTGGTTTATGCACGATTAGCAGGGATTTAAATTCTCACTTGTTTTATTCTGTATTTCATAGTGTTACACTAAGATCCACGTCTTAGATAATATTTAGTACAGTAATTGTCCCTGTCCCTGATCACCGCTGGAACATAATTATGGGGTGGAGTGGCCCTTATCTTAACATGTAGTGTTCAATTTAGGGAAATTCTTGTGAATTCCACAGGACTCTGGGGTCAGAGGTTCAGGCCTTGCCAGTGTTCTCTAAACTATTTTGGTTCAATTGTATATTGAAGCCATAAATTGAGCTCAGAATTTTAAGTTTTACTGGAGAAGTTGGGAATTCTGTCTAGATCTGTGGCTAGTTTCTAGGGAAGAGAAATCAGACAAGAGTTTTTTAAAAGGTGAAATTTGGAGTTTCATCCCTGCTCCAAATTTTGATAGCAGTATCATAATGCCTCTGATTGGCTCGTGTATTTGGGCTTTGAAATTACGAAATTTGTAAGCACCAGCCTACTGGAAATGGTTTCTCTTGTACATGAGAAGAACCCCAGCGTTATGGCAGCTAGTTACTGGTTACCTTTTGCTGTATATGTGAAATACCAGTTTAGGGATTATGGTGCCCAATTGTTATTTTAAGAGTTAGATTTGTGCCACTGTCTGCAGATTAGATGGTCATGTCAAAATTGATCAAGGTCTAATTAAATTTTACCCTAGACCCAGCCCAAGGGTGTTCGTGTCCTATCCAGTATTTTATATGTACTGTCCTATCCAGTATTTTATATGTATATATATCTCTAGTGGATTTGCAGCAAACAGTAAAGACCTCTAGAATCAGCAGTGATGTACAAAGCGTTGTTCAAATTTATCTAATTCCTATAATGGTAATAGCAGTGAAACTAAGACTAGTTTTGCTAATAGCAGAGTTTAGCATAGAACTGTAATCTCCAAGTTCACTCTATCATATTAAATCAAAACAGTGTTCTTGGAGGAGTGTGTTTTCAGAAACTGCAATTTAGGGAGAAGAAACATATTTTGAGGGCTTTGAAGACCAAATCCTGTGAGGTTTATAATATTAATAGAAAAATTGTTATATAACTTACTATTCATTTAATAGATATTTATCTTCAATATCATTTGTAATTCCAGCAAAAGCTTCCATACTTTGTGTATGTATTATGCACCTTGCTTAACTTGACTTCATTGGATATTTAAATGTTAAGCTCTTTTGTGTTAGTTATTTAGTAAATGGACACATAATTTTCAAAATGGCCAAAAAGAAGAAAAAATTCTTTAGATTCACTTAAAAATATACCTGGTTTATCAAGATAATATCAGAGTCACCAATGGACAGGTGGGTACTCCTTTATTATTGTTTTTCCATTCCTTCTCATGGCTCAAAGGAACATTTTCTCAGAGCTTAATCTTTTACTAAGATGTTCTATGGAAATTTCCCACAGGTGATTCCTGAAGCTACAAGATAAATTCTCTTCCAACTTTCCCTGTACTGGCTTCATAGTTTCGGTCCTTTTTCAAGGGCAGCAGAAAATGAACAAATTCAGGGTGAGTCATTTAGTTCTTCTTCATTTCAGAGTGTGTGTGTGTGTGTGTGTGTGTAAATTAGAAATAGGTAGTAATATTTTAAAAAATCACCTTCAGGGAATATAATGTTTGCCAAACAACATGGTTTTCAAAGTGAGAGCTGCAGATCACTGAGAGCCCCAGGATTTTTTCAAGTGGTCTGTACGGTCAAAACATAAGTTAGAATGCAGTTGAAATTGATGGTATAAAAGTGTCGCCTGTTTATATTAATCAAGACAGTGACACCAGCGACATTGTATTCCTCCTCAGGGTACTTACAGTAGAAAATTGTCAGCCTTAAGTATATTCATGATGAAACAGTAAAAAATAATAATTTTATTAAATCTTGACCCTTGAGTTCACATCTTTTTATTTTTTGGTTAAAATTTATTTATTTTTATACAAGAACTGGGGTACAGGCCAGAGGCGTTGGAGGGTGAGTGGATTCACAGGCCAATTGAAACACACTGCTGAGGGGAGCAGTAGGCGAACCAGGAGAGGTCTGCTGAGCCAAATGAGTTAGCTCCCTGGCCAGTGGGGATCGAGTTCCCATCTTTTATAGGGTTCTGTGTGACCAAATGGGAAAGTGACATAAAATGCTTTTTGCTTTTCATTTAATGTTTGCTTGTCTTGAGGAAAAAGCACTTGTTGATTGTTTCATTTCTGAGCCCACATAGCCACATTTTTCATGGAATGGTATTTTTCCATGAAAGAGCAATTTGCGGGCAAAATGTGGTCATTGAGATTTGGGTATTTTATGAACTTTTTTAAAAAATGAGTGAAGTGAACGTCACATCAAGAAAAGTAGATCTCATTTGTGGTCATTGTTAAAATTTGAGCTTTCAGGTGAAGATTAGACTTTTAGAGTGTTTGTACCCTTTTCTGTGAACTTAACGTATAATACTTAAAGATGTCTCTGATGCTTTTAATGAGGATACTAACAAATGTGATATATTATTTCATATCATGTAGTAAAATGTGTCAACATTTAAGTAATACTTGTGATGTTTGTGCTCTAAGGCAAATGGGAGTGGTTTAAAAGGACAGTGATACAGGGAAGTGAGCAACAGAGAATAAGTTGGTTAGGAAATGCTACTCTAAAAGATAATATTTGAGGTAAATTCTGAATTAAATGAGAGGAAGCCAAGTAGAAATCTGGGGGAAGAGCACTCTAGGCAGGAGCAATGGCAAATGCAAACACCTTAAGGTATTCTGAAAAACAGGACATTGACTGTAGAGAACAGTGATAACAGGTGAAAGGTATTATCAAAAAGAAGAGATTAGACTATGTAGGGCCTTATAGAATGGAGAAAGACATTAGATTTATATTTCAGTTGATTTAAAAAATTTTAAGGGAATGTACATGATGTGTAATTTGAGAAATAATTATCTAAACATCACTATGTCTCCTATCTGGCTTAAGAAATGAAAATTACTAGTATCTTTGAAGACTGTTCTTTAATCTCATACAACCATTGAGCAAAGAAAAAGAATTCTGAATTCTGTGATAGACATTTCCTTACTTTTTAATTTCTAAAAACATAACACCGTCTGAGCATTAAATGCCCAAACCTTGATAAGCCCCTTAATGGTCTGTTTTGCATCATCCTCACAACCCCCTTTCGAAGAGTTATACCATCATAAATTTTCAGGGTGGACATTATCCGTTAATGAAAAATCATAACCTTTGGTCATGTGGGTGGAGAGGAAGACTCTAGACCGATGGATAAAGTAGAGGGAACTCAAAAAGTATAACCTATTCTCATTTCTGCTTCAGTTGATCTTGAATATATTTATCTCTTGTGTATGAAATTCCTATCCAGAATTCTTTCAGAGGTGGCACATGAAGTCCCAAGACAAGGGTGGGGAGGACAGGCAAAGGGAGAAAGATGCAGACATCTGGAAATGGCCTTTGTGAGAGAGAGAGGGAGAGAGAGGGAGAGAGAGCCCTTCTTGACTACCTACCCCACCCTTTTGAAATGCAACTTTGTTTAGGTAGGAGTGCTGAGCCCAGGCAGGGAATCTTTAAAGGGAAAGAGCAGTAAGTAAGCAAACTTGTTAATTATGCCTGCATTGGAGTGTTAATTGCACTTGGGCTGGAATTTCTGCTGGGATCTTTATTATATCCATTTGCTCAATAATAGATTTTCTCATCACATCCTTCCCACCCATGTGGTCTTTGTCTTATATATCTCTCTGTTATGTATATTTTTAATCCCAAATAATTATTTTTGCTTTAAACAGTTACTGCTTTTTAAAAGAAATGTAGGGTGTGTGTGAGTGAGAGAGAGAGTGACAGAGTATAAAATCTCTCATGTTTATGTAGATGTCTGTGCTGTGGGTGGGCTTTATTCCTAAGTATGGATTTGGGATTTTGAGGTTTTCAACCTAAACAACTTACTGTATCATTTCTCATAGGTCAGGATCTGGTGGTCATAAATTCATTTTACTTGTCTTTGTGAAAGTGTCTTTATTTCACCTTGAGTTTTTGAAGGATGTTTTTGCTGGATATAGGCATTTTCTTTGTTTTTGCATATCTAGGATTTTCTCTGTCTTCTGTGTTATTGATGAGAAGCAGTCTTTATTGCTAGTCACTGAACATAATGTGTTTTCCCCATGGTGTGTTTAAGATTTTCTTCAACATCTTGTAATGTACATAGATATTTTAGTTTATTTCCCTCTTGAGCAATTACAGAGATTTGTGGGTTGTTGCCTTTTATCTTTTTGAACACTCTTCTTTGAGTATGTCTACGGAACTCTTCAAGTTTATGGCTTCCTTTTCTGCTGTATCTGTTCTCATTCATAAACCCACCAAAATCTACGTATAATATCCCTTAATTAAAAAAACTCCTAGGTTTTTATTTTATGTATCTTCCTCTGCTAAGATTCCTCACCTTTCATTAAATTGTCTGCTTTCTTTTTTTTCTTTTTTAAGATTTATTTATTTATTTATTTATTTATTTATTTACACAAGCACTGGGTACAGTCAGAAGCCCGGGAGGGTGAGAGAATTCACCAGAGCCAGAGGGAGAGCAGAGCAGGCAGACTGAGGAAGCACACTGCTGAGGGGAGCAGCGGGCGGCAGGAGAGGTCTGCACGCCCTGTGGGACCCTCACCCCGCAGCCCGGGATCTAACGGGCACTGCAGAGGCTGCAGACAGCTTTGCAACCCAGCGCTCAACCACTGCGCAACTGTTAAGGGGAAAAGGATGTCCCAAAGCAAATTCCATATAGGCTTTGTGGACTCCACCCCCGCCCCAGGTCAAAGCCAAAGACACTGGGAACTCCAAATCCCATCACCACCAAAGGGAAGGTGGCTGGGACCTGAGGGTGGGGTTAAGCAGCCAGGTGGATACAAAAGGCAGACACGTGGGCTTTGGGGCTCTCCATTTTTGGGCTCTCCGCCAGCTCGCAGTGTTAGGCCAGCTCTGAGAGTGACTTTGGGTTTCCAGGTCGTCGGATCGGGTAGGATGCATTAAAGACTTTATTTCCCTATTTTCTCCCTGAGTTGTATATTTTCCTTATTTCTTTTTCTCTTGTAAATAAACCTTTTATTAACCCTTTTGCGTGTGTCTGTAGTAGAGTATTCATAAGTCCCTTTAAAGCGCGCGGGTGAGGACCCACAGCCAGGAACCCGTTTAATATCGGGGTTGCTCTATAACACAACCAGGGGAGGCCCTGAATTGTCTACTTTCTTCCAGTGGGTCATATAACACTTCTATCATGGTTAAAGTCCTTATTTGCGTTCCCAACGTTCATCTGCGCATCTGCTATAGTGGGTTTCTTTCTTCAGTATGCATCAAATTTTTCTACTTTTTTGCATGTATATTCTTAATTCTTTATTATGTGTTAGCTGTTAGGTGTAAAGGTATAATAGTGATTGAAATTAATAATGCCTCCAGAAAAAGGTACACACCCCTTCCTGTCTTACTTGTGAAGGTAGTTTTGTAACAGGGTGGTCCCCAGGAAAGGGGGAGGTTCCCTGCCCCACCCAAGGGAGGGTGGAGCTAAACAGGAAGAGGAGAAGCTGCAGAAGAGACTGAGGAAGAAAGGAAGCAGGATGGAGCCAGGAGACCTGGAGGAGGCGCATGGAGCCTAGAGACACGTGAAGAAACTGCGCTTGTCTTTTGGTCGTGGACTGGGTGACACAGATGTGGGTGAGACCCGTGGGGAGGTGACAATGGCAGCTTTTATCTTGATGTTGATTTTTCTCTTTTCCTTCTGGGCTTGTCTGGTTGTTTCTGACCCTTTTCTGTGGGTCCCCACTGGAAGATGCTTTACACTTGTGGCAGGCTTTGGGGCCTTGTTCTGGGCCGATCCCATATGGATGGACTTTTACCCACGAGGGCATGGGTAACTTTGGGTGCTTGATTTAGAAACTAGATTCTTTGCCTTTCCTGTATTGTTTCCTAGTTTTATTAAAGTTCCTTCCCATTAAAGTCTCATATGTTTTGTGTTGATGCGGCGGATGGCAGAACCCATTTAGAATAGGCAGGTTTGCGGGGTTTGGGCTGCCCCTCTCCCTGTCCTCTAACAGTTTCATATGTAGCTGCGCTAGCCCTGGGCTTTAGTTAAGATTCACCACTGTCTGCAGATGATTTGAGGGCAGAATCAAGGCTTTGCCTTCAGCAGGGCTTGGGATCTGAGCACCACCAAGGCTCCACTGCTGTGCTTTGTAGCCTAGCCACCCCCTTTTCTTTTGGATGACTGAGGAGTCATGCCTTTCTGTAACATCGCTTCCTTGGTGTGTTGTAGAAATTCTGGCCTTTTATCCAGGCAGAGGAAGAACAAGCTGTACTTCAGTAACGGAGAGGTCAGGAAAAGCTTTATTACACATGCATGAGGTCTCAGACCTGGGTAGCCCCATATGGTCAGAGCACCTTTTTAAAGAGAAAATGTTCCTTTTACCCATAACTGTCTTCATATTTGTTACATTGATCACATTGTTTTTCAGCAGCAACAACCATTTGCTTACCCTAAGGT